TGTTTGAAAGCAGTTTGAACTTGTAACGCTTGCGCTGGCAACGTAGCAATATCACGAGCTCGCAAATAGCTTTTATTGATATAAACCTCCGAATAAAACGCTACAATATTTTTAAAACGTATATATCACAAAGTTTGACAGTCGATGTGCTACTATTGCTGTTTGTTTGAGGGTCTTTGTGGTTTGTAGCTCGTCTCAAGCAAACACAACCTCCTACTAGTAGTTAAAAGCGTGAACACGAACACCCCTCTTTCACAATAAGTTCCGTTTTTTTTTTCTTTATCAAAGGATCTCCTTTTTCATGACTCTCTTCATAAGATTTCAAAGGGGGTCTTCTTGCTGAATCTTTTACTCCAGCCCACTCATCACAACCAAGTCCCTCACTCTTCCTTTTTATTCCCCCTTATCCTCTGCTGTATCTCCGGTCCTTTTCGTATTCTTCTATTTCTCCCTCCTTCGTCCTCCTTTTTAGTAGCAATCGTCTAGGTCTAGAAAGCTGGAGGAACATCAATGAAAATAGAGCACCGAGAAGACATAGCGTGTGCATCTACCAGCCCACAAAACGTAAACTCTACGCCTTTGGGCTATAGAACATTTATCTTGAGAGATTGGGGGAGGAGAGACACACAAAGATCAAACAAAAAATAAAGGGATATGGGACAATTCTTTGACTGAGGGAGGAACCGATAACTATGAGATTACAATCATTGAAGGGTGTCTGATACGACGATTATATTATTCGCTTTCCACACCACGGCGGTTTCAATGCAATGCCAAAGATATCATCTGTCCCTGCAGATTGCAGAGTGTTTTTTAACTATCCATATCACTCCTCATTGGCCTGCTTTCGCTGCGGTCGTTTTTGATCGGTTGTTCAACTTTTACTCCTCTTCTGGTTCTCATTGGATATGCTGCGCCCTTCCCGTGCGCGCTTTTCTAGCCGCGCCTCACTCCTTCATAAGCTCCTCGACCAGCTCGGGGTTGGCCTCTTGGACATCAGGAGGTATGGCGATGGCACCCGCGTGGACATCCTCACCTTCCTTTCTTCCTTCCCGGATCACGCGCAGGCTTCCCCCACGAAAACTACGGTGCAAAACAGTGGACAGCTTCTGCAGCTGCACGACCCTCTCGCCGCCCGCTCCCTCCTCTGCTCCTGCTTTCCGGGTC